CCCAGTGGCACAGGGGGATGGGGATGGGGTTTAGAGTCAGTTCACGGGCTGGTGGTTCCTGCTGCTCCTTCCTCCTCAGGGAGAAGGATTCCTTACAGTCCTTCCCTGCTTCCCCACAGGGTCCCTCCCATGGGAGAGAGTCCTCCACAAATCTCTCCTTCATGAGTCCTGCTCATGGGGTCTGGAGCTGCTCTAGCCTGGGCTTCCCACAGAGTCACTGCTGCTTCAGGAACAAACTCCCCTTTACCCAGGAAAATAATTCAGTGAAGGCTTTCCACACCATTGGCAAAAGCTGTCTTCAACTGTGATCGTCACTTGTGGCTGGGGAAGGTCATGGATATCACACACAAGAGCTGTGCAATTACTTCTGGGTATGGGTCCTGTCCATCTGTGTAAGCACCTACCTGCACTGCCAGGGCTTCCATCTGTCCCCTCCACAGGACCATCATCTATGTGTGTGTATGTGTTTTGTCATTTGACTTGCATCTAAGCCACATCTCCCTGGTTTGCAAATGTCGTTTGCAGTTTTGTCAAACATGTTACCAAAGTCATTGAAGAAGAAAGTTTGGTTTGCAACATCAGCTCATGATGAGTCTGTGATGACAGTTATGCTCTATTGATTACAAAAGGACTGGTAAACAATTTGCTCCATTATCTTTCTAGATGTCTAACTTAGGCTTATTGACCTTGAGTTCCCTGGGTACTCACGGGTAAAATGTATGAGGGCTGGTTTTTACCTCATTACACTACTTTCCTCTTGTGAATGACAGAGAAATCAGTTCTTGTGTTATGGCTTTTGATGGAAAGGAATAGATTTCTAGACTTCATTACTCAGAGTAAATGGACATCTCTTGGAGTGGGGGGCAATGTGTCTACCCATTTCCTTAATAATAACAACATTGCATTAACTATTGCTAATCATAATTCTTACTTGGAACTGTGTTAACTACTTAAGAGTGCAGTAAGCCAAGTTCCAGCACTCACATCTCTGTCCTGGCATTGCTTAATTTACTAGTAGAGACATACCCAAATGAAAGAGCAGTACACCATGAAGAGAAAAAGTGGTGGAGATGAATGAGAAGAAAAAAACAAACAAATAAATCAACCCAAACAATAAACACACTGAATTGTGAAACCAGGCTTTTACCATAATGGTCATCTTTCATGCTAGAAAAAAAGCAACTGAAATGAATGAGTCAGAGGTGTGTGCTGAACAGATTCTCTGCCAAAGGGTCTGGAACTTGTAACCTCCATTATGGCAGCAGCTTCCTCACTAAAAGAGAACTAGAATTAGAAACCATTGTAAGGTGAGACTAAAATAATATTTAGGCCCCTGTTGGCTGCACCATTGAACACATGCTTCCCAAAGGTCACAGAAGTGAGCACTGCATTTTATTTATGTTAATGGCAGACTCTCTCTGGAAGAGAGTGTGAAGAATAGTTGTTTAACTGAAATCTTCAGTTTCTCACACTAACTGCTTCTCCTTACAGAATCACAGAATGGTTTGAGTTGGAAGGGAGATTAAAGATCATCTTGTTCCAACCCTGCTGCCATGGGAGCTGGGTGGGACACCACCCACTAGACCAGATTGTACTAAATCTCATCTAACCTGGACTTCAACACTTGCAGGGATGGGGCACCCACAACTTCCCTGGGCAACATGGGCCAGTGTCTCATCACCCTTAAAGGAGAGAATTTCTTCCTAAGATCCCATCTAAATCTCCCCTCTTTCAGCTCGAAACCATAATCCCCCTAGTCCTGTCACTCCAATCCCTTGTAAAAAGTCCCTCCCCAGCTTTCCTGTAGCCCCTTCAGGTACTGGAAGGTGCTCTAAGGTCTCCCTGGAGCCTTCTCTTCTCCAGGCTGAACAGCCCAAACTCTCTCAGCCTGTCTTCATGGCAGAGGTGCTCCAGCCCTCCAATCATCTTCTTGGCCCTTCTCTGGGCTCACTCCAACTCACTGCATGCTGTTCTTATGTGGGGGACCCCAGAACTGAACATAGAACTGCAGGGGGAGGTCTCATGAGAGTGGAGTAAGGGGGAGAAACACTTGCCTTCCTCGACCTGCTGTTAAAGAAGCAGGCTGCCTTCGAGACCAAATGCTTACAAAGTCGCAAAGTTGGTGGAAGCTAAGTTAACTTTATTTCACAGTAATAAGAAAGAAGGAAAATTACAATGAGTTGCTCAGTGACCAATGGGTACTTTAATGATTGATACAATAAAAGCAGGTATTAAGAAAAATAATTTTGGGAGACACCCCTACTTGTTATTAAAATAAAAGTTTCCAAATGCAGGGACCTTTCCCCTTGGCTATTTATTTTTGTGAATTAATTCCTCTTCTTAGACAGATTTTTTTCCATTAGAGGGCAGGTTTGCTTACCTGTATTTGTGCAGTCTTAGAGTATATGCAGGATCATTACTGAAATGATTACTGAAATACAATATTTTTACTTTTAAACATGACCAGATATTTTACAACAGGATGAATGCCTGCAAAAGATCCAGATTCTAAACCAGAATAGTTCTAGTGGAATTACCCAAATGGTAATTTTCAGTTAAGAACTCCACTATGTACTAGAGCATTATAATAGTAGAATGTATACATGCTCCTACAGCTTTTTTTTTTGGGAGTCACTGGTCTGAACTTAGTCCTTCTGCATATGCCTCGACCTGCTGTTAAAGAAGCAGGCTGCCTTCGAGACCAAATGCTTACAAAGTCGCAAAGTTGGTGGAAGCTAAGTTAACTTTATTTCACAGTAATAAGAAAGAAGGAAAATTACAATGAGTTGCTCAGTGACCAATGGGTACTTTAATGATTGATACAATAAAAGCAGGTATTAAGAAAAATAATTTTGGGAGACACCCCTACTTGTTATTAAAATAAAAGTTTCCAAATGCAGGGACCTTTCCCCTTGGCTATTTATTTTTGTGAATTAATTCCTCTTCTTAGACAGATTTTTTTCCATTAGAGGGCAGGTTTGCTTACCTGTATTTGTGCAGTCTTAGAGTATATGCAGGATCATTACTGAAATGATTACTGAAATACAATATTTTTACTTTTAAACATGACCAGATATTTTACAACAGGATGAATGCCTGCAAAAGATCCAGATTCTAAACCAGAATAGTTCTAGTGGAATTACCCAAATGGTAATTTTCAGTTAAGAACTCCACTATGTACTAGAGCATTATAATAGTAGAATGTATACATGCTCCTACAGCTTTTTTTTTTGGGAGTCACTGGTCTGAACTTAGTCCTTCTGCATATGTAGGAGATGTTTTTTTTTGTGAAAGAAGTCACTAAAGAGTTGGATGTCCAGGAAGGGAAGGTTGAGCTTGGTATTTTACTTCAGTTTTGCATTGGCAAGAAGCAGATCAGTGAACTTGATGAAGCTATGGGTACACCCATGAGACTTTGCCAAAGCAGTTGGAATAAACAACTTCAGACTTTCAAAGCTTGGCTGCAAATGGATTGGAACACAAAATTAATCATATATGGTAAATGAGAACCTGCAGCATTTCCTTTTGAAACAATATTTTTTGTCAATATTTCTTTCCTCTGTAACTTTTTCCTCTTTGTTGCCATTTACTCCACAGCAGCATCCAAAACCTTTGACCATATGTAATATTCTTAACTCTTTCAGGCAACTTTCTCATTGCTCTTTCAAGGTGTTTAGAAGCTTTCTTCCCTTCTACTACAGCTTATGTGAGAGTTAGGTTAACTATGTAACAGAAGTTAGACTTGGAATTAAGGCTTGCATTATGAGACTCAGCCTATATGTTATTTTGTGTTAGATTTCTTTAAAGTGAGATTTGCTACTTACACCTAGCAAGTGTGTTGCTACTGCCACCACATTTCAAAGAAGGAAGAAGAAAAAAAGTTTCTTCCTTCCTTAGCATATCCTAGATTCAAGGATGAGAGTTGCCTCTCCTGGGTGTGGAAAAGCATGTAAACACTGCTCAGCAATTAAAAAAAAAAATAAATCCCTTTTTCATTATTATCAATGCTGTTTTCAGCACAAACCCAAAACATAGCTCCACACTAGCAATTATGAAGAAAATTACCTCTATCTCAGCCAAAACCAGCACAAAGAAAATCTGGAGCTGAGATTTCTGTGGTACTATTGGTATAAACATATTTTTTACCTCACTGCAATCAGTGCATCTTCTTACTCTAGGAAACACTAGTGAGAGTTTCCATATGGAGACCTGTATATTGTAATCTTTAAGGAATGTATCTAGGCCATAGGAACATCTTGATCCATGAAGTGGAGGGTATCTGTGTCCCAATGTACACCAGCTACTGTCTGACATCTGCCTACCCTTACCATAGACACCTTTTATGTGGTTTCACCTAGGTAAAGCACTTACAATGCTGAAGTGTGTTTCTGTAATAGTGCATGTGGCCTCATATTTGAAAAAACAAAACAAAACAAACAAAAAAAACAAACAACAATTTCAAAAAGTTTCCATTTGCATGAAGCAATTGGGATTTTTTTAAAGCATCAACTTTACTCGACTCACAATTAAAATGTTTAAAACTTACTGCATAATCCGTCCTCACAAGCATTAGGGCAGTCACCACAGGGTTCTCCAGCTTTGTAGGGTTTTGGAATTGAACTTATTATGTTCCCCCTGAAAGATCAACATTACCAACATAAGCTATGATGGTAACTGATGACTGATCTCTTTGCCTTTATCTTGATCCATAAGGTTTTTGTAATAATTTTTTCTCCAGTTACCCTTTTGAGGAGCAGGGGTAATAAAGAGCCTTGGTGGTCTGCAGGCAATCAGCCGTGGTTAAAACCACTGCAATGTATCACAATGTGAATGTTAAAATTAATTTTAGGAAGTTTATGAAATAATTTTTCTGCCTTAAAATTCCCACTAAAGTTGTTGATGTTTACGATAGTTTTCACCATAGGTATTTATATACCTTTGTGCACCAAATTTCAAATAGAACGCAGAAAACATTTACTTGTCATTTGCTGTTATGAAAACATTGGATTTTTAGGAAAAATGAATTTTAATCTGAAACTAAGTGTAAATTTTACATGTTTTATTCTTTTGCTTGTTTGGCAGTTCTTCTGATTGGTGTTTCTGTCCTTTCAAATTCCTAATACACTCCCCAAACCTGTTCTCAGCTATTAAAGATGTACCCTTTCACAAATTTCACTGTCTCCCAACTAATTTTGATAATGTAATAAAAAGTTCCAGACTCAGAATCAATACGTACTGGGGGCAGTAGTGGCAGACATAAAAGTATTTGTATCTACTGTTGGGACACAAAGCGACACCACATCCAATTTCATGAGAACTGTGCCAGACCATCTGTAGGTATAAGAACAAAAATCATGAGAGAATGAAAAATGAAATTTCAAAATCATTTAAGTACAATATGCATTGAAGAAACATTTTCAACCAAGTTAAATCACTTTATTTGACCTTTATGGTAAAAAGAAAGTTCGACTTTGCTGGAAAAACTTTTTTTTTTTTTTTTTTTTCTCTCCACTGCTTTCACCCATGAACCAAGTAATATTTAGGACATGATGATAAGTTATCACACATATATACATAAAAAGTGTATTAAACTGTCCCAGCTGCATATGTTTTCATTCAATTAAAACTGTTGAAGAAAATGTAGGAATCATGACATAAAACTTTGTATCCTGTGTTTTGTGCAGGTGAACAGAAGAGATTATTATAAGTAATTTTCCAACTGGAAAATCTGAGCCAATGGAACTCTGTAGACTGTAACAAATGTATTTATATTTCCTTCCTGGTTCTTTAATAACTCAGTTCTTCCAGTGTCTGAGCAATTTTCAGATGTTAAACAAATAAGTTTCTTCCTTGTTTCTTCCTGAAGTTTTGACATCCCAGTAATTTTACTTTTTATGTTTAGTGTATTACTTTCGTTTCATTTCCTTTATCTTGAGAGTTTTTATCTTGTTTTGACATGAGAGTCAAACAGATTCTCAGGTCTCTATATGTAATTCCCTTTAGATATGATGAGATAGAAAATGTTGCTTACTTAACATAGATATTTTTTTATTCGGCCTGAAAAGTAAAAAAAAAAAAATTGCATCTACCTGAGTGTAGTGGCCAATCACAGCGCGTGGTGTTTTTTCTCCAGTTCCATATTCAAAATCTTTCACCTCGTTGTGCCAGACCTGCATAGCATGTGACCATGGGCTAGGCCCAGATGACATAAAGAGATTTTCACCACATCGCACATCTGAAAAGAGAAAGGTACTGAGAAATCCGTAAAAAAGGAAAAGACAGCAAAAGGTGGTATGACTTCCAGGGAAGTTATCATCTCAGATGGGACATCAGAGTGGGTTTCGTTCTAGTTTATTGACACCACCCTTTCTCAGTACTGAAGTTGTCATTTGACCAGTTTGAAGCATGGCAGGCCTGTCTGGCTGGTACTTTCGTTGTTGACAGACCTTTTGTGTGTCTGTAGATTCTGCTGCGGATGTGCACTACAGATTCATTACTGTAATTCTGTTATTTTAAAATTAGCAACCTAGTCATTATTCATTCAGGTCACAGCTCAGTAATCTTGGGAAAATCCTGAAGATTCAGAGTTTACCGCTGGTACACAGGAAGGTGTCTACACTATCACATGAATTTACCTACTGTTTCTATTTAGGTCTGATGCCCTGACCAACCCTACTGCATATGCGTTAGTTCTCATGTGGGGTTCATCTTAGTAAGAACTAGAGGACTTGGTTTTTAAGAAAAAGTATGGGGACTGAAGGACAGACCTCATTTTACATATAGAATAGACAGAGGTCAGTCTATGCTAACATAATACAATTGTAACTTCAAAGACTGAAGTGTTTACATGAACCTCCAAAAGAGTTACAGGTTGCCAGGGGATTTAAAAATTATTAGTCTTGTCTTAGCAATTATGCCTAGAATCACCAGTGGGTTTTGGACCTTCATCCTTTGCCCCTTCTTTCCCAGACATTTTTGTCCAGCTGGGATCTACAATACACTAGGTCTTGATTCTTTTCTTTCTGATGGATATTTTGAGAGAATACACTTTCTCACTGGGATTTTTTTTCACCTACTGAATAAAATAGTGTATACTTATGGAAAACTGATGTAGGTGGAACGAGAATGGGATTGAACTTTTCTCACTTACTGGAAAGATTTCTACCTTGAGATTTGCCTTTGTTCTCTGCACTAATGAAGTCACTTTGAATATAAATGTCATCTCACAAAAAAAACCCGAAACCAAACAAAAAAAAACACGAAAACCTAAAAAACCCAGCAAAAAACGTCACCAAAATCAACCCACCAAAAATGTAAAATAATTAAATAAAATAAATTAATAATAATAAAATTCAACTGCTCATATCAATAACACACATCAAATTACTCAGTTAGTACTCATGCTTCACTTACTGGTTGTCCGCAGATTAGCAGGACTGTGACGTAAGGTACATTGGTTGGCCCAGTTTTGGGCATTCTTTGCAGCTGAAGGGCTCCATTCCTGAATGAAATAGAAAATGCCAGTCATTCAGGCACATACCAATTAATTCCTCATGAAGGAACATTTGGAAATTACACTTCAAATCAGGAAAATTCATATTGAAAATTCTTTTCTTCCCTTTTCTTTTTTTTGGGGGGGGCAAAGGGGTGAGAAGGGAGGTAGGAACAAAGTTACTGTGCACCCAAAAGAACAGAATCTGTGAAGACTGTGTATCAGAAAGAAAATGCTGTGGCTCCTCTTTTTCCTCTTCTTTTTCCTCCAAATGAAAGAGACATCATTGCTCATACACAACAAAACCTTCCAGACTGTTTTTTTAAAACCTGCTCAGCTTTATGTTTATTTTGGGAAAGGTCTGGAGGGTGAATTTGTGGCTAAATAAAATAGTGTGACCTTCCATACAGTTCCGTATCTCTCATAGGGTGCATTATTCATTCAAAATAGCTTTACTGCACATATCTTACCATCTTCATCATGTTGCTGGCAGCTGGCTTTACTGCTCTCCTGAAGGCATTGTGTGTGTCAACAATGAGCTTTTGCTGATCTTCTCTGAGAGTGGACAGAGCATCCAAACCCTTAGGTTCCTAAATTGAAAGAATATGTTACATTTCTGCTTATTGAATAAAACATAATCCTCTCTAGGAAATGCTAATGTCAACAGAGATGATCTCTATGATGGAGAAGGTATATTTTGTAGCCTAAGTATCTCTAGGGGTGCTTCCATGGGAAGTAACACTTGAAGTGGTTCCAAAGTGTGGAGCTTAGTAATAATAACACTGGTGCCTGCATCGTATCTGCCAGCCCTGTGTAGATGGCTGAGAACTTCTCCTGTGCCTGTAGGTGCTTAAATGTAGGCAACTGAATCAGACCTTCAGTGTCTCTGAAGCAGAAGTGGCAAGGTTCAGACTAAGTATGGGTTGGGAGGATCCACTCCATGTACTCATTGAGTTATATTAGTTCATTGAGCTGTGTGAGGGGAATGAATGATACATGTGTAGAGGATGTGAGCAAAGGAAGAGACACATAGCTCAGGACCTATAGGACAAAAAAAAGGAAATAGTTAAGTAACTGCTGACAATAAAAGTATGGGGAATTACAAGAAGGCTGGGATATCCAGAATACTGGATATCTGTGTATCGGAGCTTCCAGAAAATGTAACTATCTCTTATCCAATGGACAAGTAACACTGAGCCTACAGGTGATTTAGTGTGGCAGTGTGGAACCAGCCTACTGCTTTGAAATTAAACAGACTTGCAGTATAAATGCTTTCCAGATCCCAGGTATCTAATCAGACTCTTTCTGCGTGTGATTGGTGTGCACAGGAAAAATTGTATTCAGTCAGACCATGAGTAGTGCCTCGGGTCCCATCCAGATTTTCTGAGTACAAAGTATGGATCCTACCTGTCCAGTGGATGGAGACAGCACAGTTGTGAGACACAGGAACACCACTGCCAGAATCATCTCTGAAAAGGGGAGAATGAGGATTTAATTTATTTTTTACAGAGCTTTCAATTATCTGAAACACAATTCATCTTTCTTCTGTGTGTTTTCTGGCCTTTTCTCAAGTAGCAAGATGTTTTCTTTCTCTCCTCCTACCATTTCTAGAAGCAAAACAAAACCTGTGAATAGTCTGCATTCCCAAATTTCGATGACTCAACTGTTTTGTATGCCTCTTACTTCCTGCTGTAATCCTTGCCAAATACCTTCACCTGAATTCACAGTACAGGAGGACAATTGTGCTTCCCTTCCTGTAGGAAGCCTTCTGCTCATTGCCACACCATGGAAGGGCTGAGGTAGGATGCAGCTCTCATCTTATTGCTGTATCTGCATTAATTGGAAACTTTCCCTGCTCTTTGTCTCCTGCTTTTAATGGACTGCATTGGTTGAAAGGGATGTTAGACATTCAGCCCATGTGCAAATGTCTTCTTACATTTAGGTGTCTGAGACTAGATTCAAACACCTTTCTTAATGACCAACACTGTGAAGACAGAGCTGGCTGGACCAGAAATGGACCATCACTGGCTTCCTGGGCAAGACATGCTTCAGAAAGTGTCATTCTTTTTCATTTTTGTGTTTTTGTTTTTGTTTTGTTTTTCTTTTTTTTTAAGACGCCTTTTGATTATATTACAGGTTGTGGTGGAAGGGCAACAGAAAGGAGAGCCTTCTGTAATTGAAGAAGCAACTGCCAGAATTTGGCAAGACTCCACTTGACTGGGAGGCTGAAAACACCATATTGTAACACCAGAGTGATCAACGAGGTAACAGGTCACTTCAAAATTCTGGTGTCTGATTCCAATCAGTCACAGAAGTTACATTCAGCATGTTTCTGCTTAGGTACTTTGGGCAGACAAGTAGGTGACTAGAGTGGATTTTACTTATTTGGGCATTTTTCCCAGCCTCTCACTCTAGGGGGATTTATGGGCATGTTGCCACAGAAGTATATTATGAGCTTAACTTCTAATTTGATTTTGGGGGGCTTTAATTTATTCTTGGGGAAAGGTTAATAGGATTTGCTGACCTTTCCATATTCAGCAAAGGCCCTTTACCTTGAGGCAACCAGTTTATATGAAACACAAGGTGCTCTGGCTCATGGAGAACATCTGGGTAAGAATATCTACCCTTTTCCAAAAGGTACAACAAGGCCCATTTTCCTCACCAGGTTGCTTACATTGCACTGGAGGTGACCCAGAGTCTGCAGCCTTTAGGTAGGGGAGCTACTCCAGCTCTGCTGAAGAGCAAAACCCATTGAAATGGGCTGGGACTATTGGACAGCTGTAGCTCAGAGGCCAAAACCTGGACAGATTTGTCACATCTGTACTATTAAACTCTCACAGCCTCCAAAATAGAGTGACTTACTCCAAGCACTTGTATTTTAAGAAAGATCTTGTTGATCCAGTAGAAAAACATACTGGGAACTACTTTGATAATTAATGGTATAAGTAATTAAATTTGTCTTCTTGGTAATGCCTTATGTCACTAATGTTTAATTTTGACGTCACCTATTTAGAATCACAGAGGTTTTTCTTATTAACTTTTATACCACTTATTCCTCAGAGCCATTGCAAAACTTTGCAGCATATATGGTCTAGGTGTTTGGCAGTGAGAAATGATATTCCCAATAATATGTTTTTGGGGTTTTTTTCACTTCATTTCTATCTAGAAAGTAAATAGAAGTGGGGGTTATTTTTAGCTGTAGTTGTTACAAGCAAGAATACATCTTTTGAGTGCAAAATGTGATGATATGCAAATAGAAAGCAATCTTTTTTGCACCTAAAACCTGCAAAACCAAATTCACTGTTTCAGTGAAAACACCTCCTCATTGAAATTATGAAGCCTTCTCTTTTGCAAACCAAACTGAAGAAGCCACCTTAAAGACATGGTCAAACTATTCATTCACAGTAATATTTTCTATGAATTAACTTATAATTAAATATAATTGGTAATTTAATACATGGTGCAAGTTTCAAAATGCTGTTGGAATGCTTTTTAAGACCCAGTGGGTTTCCTCCTCCAAGGTATTAACATACTTTTGGCAATCCCTCTGATTTCAGCCAAATGCTTATAGTTTATGAGATGTAAATTTAATTGCTCTGCATTAATTTCTAGGCACTGGTCCTAAAATCAGTCTCTCTGCCCCCTCCCCTGTTCCCCCTCAATCAAACACAAATCAGGACATGTGCCAAGTTTTGCTGACTTTCCTGCAACTCCATCTGTGGACAGGGATCTGCCACTGAGAAATGGTGCTTTAGCATTCCTAGTTTGTATGAGTTTAGCAAACTTGTGTGAATATGTTTTTCCCATCCCTTCTCAAAAAAGAAAAGAAAAAAAAGGATGTATCCTGAATTATGCATACAATTTAATATCTATTACAAAAGAACGTTCCTGATATTTTTTACTATTCTTAAAAAACACTTAAAATGGAACACCACTAGTTGTGATTCCACTTGTACAGTATTGCTGCACAAATTCCTACTTAGCAGCCACCTTCCACAGGAGTTATTAGTTGCACAAGGTGGTAATTTCCTAAATCTGAAAACAAGTGGTGATAACCACATATAGCAATACAATATTCTGACCTGAATATATATCCATTTCAATATTCAGTCTGTCTCTTTATCTGTGTGTACACAATCTGCCAAGATACTCTCTTCATGTATACAGGCATCTTTTCATCCCGTTTTTGTTGTTCATCAGTTTTCTCTCCTGTTTTTTTCATCTCATGTTACACTGCTGCCTATGTAATCCTCATTTTTCACTGAATAAAATCCTCCTTCTCTGACTGTCCTAAATATTTCCAGAAGTCGTCTGACAATAAATTGCATTTTAATACATGAAAATAATGCAATACCTTAAACCAACAGATCAGTCTAAATCCTACCTTTTCTTTTTTTGTTGGTTTCCAAGAAGATTGGAAGTTTCTTCTGTCCTTCTGCTGGTTGTGGAAGTGACCAGAGAACTCCACTGGAGGGTGATTTATAGCTCTTCTGTTTCCTGATAGGACAAAGTGACTCAGCATCACACATATTATAGAATTCAAATAGTGATCAGATAGAACAGCTCATTCAACAAGTGCAAGTTCTTCCAAGGAAGAAGTTGTTTGCCTGTCTACCATTTTTCATTTCCTCTTGCTTCTTGCATTGGAAGAGATTAAATCATTTGAAATTAGTTTAGTATGTTTTGCTCCTTGTATGTGAAATGTCAACGCCAAGTATGCAGGCTAATAATTGGCATATCTACTTGATCTTAATCTCCAGCAATGCAAATAAACTCAGCTTGCTATGGAGGTAAACAAGATGGAATCTGCCCTATTGGTTTTTCTAAGCGGTTAAAAAAAGTCTCAGGCCAGGTTCCTGTTCATGCTGTAGCTTCTTTGCTACAATCCTTTAATATAAAAGTCAAAGGAGACATGGATAAGTTCCCTGTACTTTATGTAGTATTGAGTAAAGTTTAACAGATTATTGTGTGCATTAACATTAAAACACATACAGGAGTTTGATTTAACATTTCTGGGTACACAGATCAAGATGAAAATTGGGTGGAAATACTGCCAGATCAGAAGGCAATTTTTGTGCCTTCATCAACTGTTTCTGTTGACATTGAGTCAGTGACACTTTTCCAGGTTTCATTAGCTGGAAAACCAGTGCCAGACAAAATGGCAGTGGTGTGTTTTGTCATTTGGTAATTGTATGGAAAGGACCACACTGTCAGGAAGTTTGTGGTTGACACCAAATTGCAGGCACTACTCTGCAAATTTGCAGAGCAAATATGCTCCATAATAAGGCTGCTGTTCAGAGGAATCTCAAAAAGCTAGAGAAGTTATTTAACTAAAATATCTGAAAGTAAACAAACGGGACAGACCAGTTGTGTAGGTGACAGCTCTAACAAAAACTATTTAAGGGTTATTGTTAGATGACAAGTTGCATATGAGTAAACAGCTCACCCTTGAAGCAGGGAGACCTAACTGTGTACTGCACTTCATCAGCCACTACCTTGTAAGAGTGCTGAGAATAGGGGTTATACCCACTTTTTCAGCACATCTGAAACTGTCTTTCCTATTGTGTCCAATTTTGGAGTTCCCAGTAGAAGACATGAAAAACCTGTAATAAGCCTAGCAAAGGGCCACTGGCAAGAGGAAAGGCAGAAGTGGGCTCTGTTACAACATGGACATGACTTAAGAGCCACGGGTTTAAATCCTAACCAGATATAAAGAAAAATAGTTTTTATAGTGCTGAAGCACTGAAGCAAATTGATGAGGGAGGTGGTAGATTTTGCATACTTGGAGATATTAAAAACTGGACATGGTGCTGAACAAAATAACCAAACTTTTAGGCTGGTGAGGCTTTGAATATGGAGTTAGCCCAAATGAGCTTCAGAGGTCCTGTACAATCAGAACTGTTCTAAGGTTGTGTGATTTTTTTATATTGTTTACAGTGGAAAGGCACCAAATGAGTCTTGTCTCATTTTACTTTTGACAGATATGACAATTTAATTGGTTAGTTGGAACTTCTAATTGTTGTATGAGAAAGCAAGTGTTACCAGCATAATTGTTATAATTGTTTCTAATGAAATAGGTTGCTTTTAGGTGATCAGATAACCATGGAGCTTAAGGTAAAGACTAGATCCTGTCCTATGATGTAATTAATCTCTCTGCATAATATGCACTGAGGCCTCTTGAATCATCAGGGTGTAAGAGCTGTCCTTAGACCAGAGTGAATGATTCAGGAGGTCACATTTCTGTGAATACAGATTATGTCATAAATTATTCCTGTAGTTTTTTATCATAGAAGCATAGAATAATAGAGCAGCCCAGGTTGGAAGGCACCTTGACAGATCACCTGCTCCAGCCTTCTGTGGGAAAAGGAACATAAATGAGATTGTCAAGCACTCTGTCCAATCACATCTTGACAACCTCCAATGATGAGGACCCTACCATGTCCCTGGGGAGGTTGTTCCAGTGAATG